TTTGTGGCAGAACACCCTTTTCAGTTGCAGGAGAGGATAATGCAGCGCTACAGAGCAAACTCTAATAATTTGCTAAGGAGCAGGGTTTATTTTGTAGCTACGGAGGCTTGCATGGTTTGTAGGTTTTTTGGTTTTGTTTTTGTGGTTTTTTTTTTAACTGTTTTGTTTATTTCTTTCTAGAATAGCACTTTATATAGGCAAATGAGAATGTGACTGGAACCTCTGAAAAGGACCACTTATGAAAAGCACATTAAAGTGAAGGGAGAATCAGGAGGCAGTACAGAATGGTTTAATGTTGCCTACTTATTTCTTAGAACAAAAGACATTTATTTGAACCTGGCTTCTTTATTCATTTACTGGGATCCTTCCTGCTAATGTAACTGAGTGGTGCTACTGCTACAGATATTGTACCTATAAAACTGCTCAGTGCTGATTTAGTGAGATGTCGTTTGGTAATTTACACTGAAAGTTTATGTTTGTTAAGAAAAATAAAAGGCTTAATTGAAAACTAATATTAATAAAAAAGCCCTTTACATGGCATGTTGTTTTGTTTTGTTTTGGCTTGGTTTTTTTTGTCCAGTGGTGATGTATTAACAAATTCAGCAATGTACAAAACAGGTCTTTATTGTGTTTGAATGACACAGAGCCGGGGAGCAAGAGTAGTGATAAAGCTTTTGAATCTGTAATAATGTGGGGTAATAATATGGAGAGTGCATGTGTGTGTTCTTGTGCCTCAGGTGCAGAAGAGGAAGGATAATGAAATGTGCCAAGCGTGCCTGCTGACATGAGGGCAAAGCCATGAGGGGTACTGAGGGAAGGACTGAGTGCCAAGCTATCGGGGAGTCTTTGGCATAACTGCAGTAGACAGATTCAGGCAAATATGGGCTCAGGCTACCCATAGCTCCATGCCAGTTGAGTCTGGGCATGCTGTAGCACTGTGAGAAGTGTGCTAGCTCATTACTGGTATGGTTCAGTATTCCAGAACACAGTTGTCTTAGTGCCTGGCTAGCTTGGAGCAGAGGGAGAGGAATGTGTCACCATCTTAACTCATCCACCTGCACATAGCCTGTGTGAAAGCAGTACTGAGGAAGGTGTTTGTGTGAACCCAATGACACACCTGGAATTTTAATCAGGGTAGCAGGAACTCAGATTCTTAGTTACAAATAGTGCCCTAGTTTTTATTATATTAGCCCTTTCAGAGGGCATAATTTTTCAGTATATTTATGCTGTAATATGGTGTCACTTTCCTTCCTCCCTACTTCTGCATTAGTTCAAAACTACATGCTCTCCAAAAAACATGAGTGACTCTTAACTAATACTGTGGTTTGTGTACCAAATGTATCATGGCAGATATAGGTATCGTACCTCCCCTCCTTGCACTTTCTGCCTGCAGCTTGTGCTGTTTGTTTCCTGGGTTAAATCCCCTTGAAGTGTTCAGAGCTGAATATGCTTCCTGATCACCTATTGAATATCCCAGACCATATATTGTAGTTAAAGTTGTTCTTGCAAGGTGACCTCTCTGTATCATCTTCCTTCTATGTGCTTCTCCCACTGGTGTCTGGTGTTCTGCCCCACTGGGGTTCATCCAGAACAGCTCTGTATGTGTCATCATTGTCCCCAGAGCTCCTGCTTTAAAGGAGGTGCACCATGTCCCAGACAGCTCTCTTCTTCTGCATCCATTCCCAAGACACTCTCTGAAGTTCAGACTGATTTTCAGCCGGTGCTTGTCATTCATTGTTCACTGCATTCTGGAGGTCAGGGAAAAGTATGTAGCATAAACTACTTCATGTTAAGTATGTTTTCAAGGACTTACCCTTAGCAGTAACCAATCCTGCCTCCCCTCCCCCTCTCCACTTAAACTAGAGAAGATAGCAACTGAAAAAATATTTTATATAGGCATGTATGTATAAATATATATAATCTAGAATGTAGCAAGGTGAAATGTAATTTCCTTTTAAGTAAAGTCTGCCATTTAATTTAATTTTTTAGAAAATTATTAGATCTTAAAACCCTATAAATTACATTTGACAACTCTCCGGTGCTCCTTTGCTATTCCTTATGGCAATTATAAATGGCAACACAGGGTGCTGGCAGAAATGCTCATTCTGACTGGAGTTTGTTTATTGTCCCTTAATGAAAAGTGATTAATCTAAATCACTACTGGGGTAGATCCTTCGTCCTGGTCCCATAATGAGAAGTGGTGGTTTCAGGCCTTTGACAAATGTCCTGCTATTTCCCCTGCCAAAAGTTCCCTCCCCCCAGAGCTTCCAGGAGAAAAACTACAAAACCAAAGAAACAAAATAAGGCCCAAAGTCTCTCACTCTTCTTCTCCTGCTTGCCATGTAACAAACCTGTGTGCCAGTCCTAGCTGCATGGCTGGTGGTGGCCTTTTTTTTTTCCACTCTGGTTGAGCCTCCTATTTCTTCCATGCTGCTCTGTGCAGGATCAGCCTTGCCTGGGAGGATGGATGACAAAAGAGGTGTTGCCTATCTTCCTTCGAAGAATGGAGAGTTGATATAGGGAGTGGGCAAAGGGGCAGGAGGTGACTTATGTGATGTCACTTACCACTAGGTGTGACTATTAGTCTTCCACCTTTCCTAGCTTGATTTTTTTATCTAATCTTGCAACTGTTGTAGTAAATGAGGATGATCATAAAGAAAAACTGGGCATCTTATGATGATGGCCTAAATTCAGCTTTTCATTTGCTTCATCCCATATATTACATCTCACACAGCTGCACTCACACTCTGCCTGTAGAATCTTTTATACCAAAACTATTCTTAGCTCTGTTATCTATAATTTACCACTGGCCTTCACATATGATTGGATGTTCACCTCTTATTTACATTCTTTCCTTGCTGCTAGGCTCCACGGCCTTGCTGCATACTCTAACATGCAACCACTGTTATGCATCCAGAAAAAAAAAGAAATTGTCCAGTTTTCTGAACCATTTGGTGGAAATGCTGCCTTTTCCATCTCATCTGACCTGTTTCTTGAACTGTCCACCAAAGTGTTGCAGATTGTTTGTGAGAGATCGTTTGTACCACTGTTAGCTCTCTTGTGCTCCTTATTTGAGAGCAGTACTCCAACACTGACCTTTTAATACACAGCATTATTAACACTGTAACCATTTATAACATCGGGTGGAAAATATTTTTATTTCTGAAATATCCTTTATTTTAAATGTAAGATCTTTCTGGATTATCTTATTAAGTGGGCAGCTTTACATCCTTCTTCCATTCTGTAGAACAAGTGGTTTTTACTGAACAGTGTTACAGTTCTCTGGCACAGACAATATGCTTTAGATAAACAGGGTTAGACAAATGTCTCTGAAGTCTTGGTCACCAGTGACAGAAAAAAATAATTTGAAATAGTGGTGAAATCATTATTGTTTGGAGCAAAATAAAATAGATATCTTGATCTCATTAGAAAGAAGAACAGTCCCAAAGCTTCCTTCTAGGTGGAGACCTTTGAGATCTATTCTCAAGGCCAGTTTCCACAGAGTTAGTTGCATATGGGAACATTTCTCATTGCCCAGACTGTGCACGAGAACACAATGAAAATGCACTTCTTCAGGACCTGTGGTGTGGCTTCCTGTGGGAATGGGCGGAGATTGATTTTTGGGACTGATTAAGCGGTATATGTGAGCGATGTTGAAGGAGCTTTCAGCTCAGGCTGGATTCATACAGATGGTTTCACTCTGGGAAAATGTTCAGTTCTAGTTCAGCTTTTCATTTCTTAGTGGAAAGGATCAGACACCATTTATGTTATATTCACTTTCCCTTGGTGACTTCATGGAGTTAATGAGCTGCTTAAAATTAAACAAGCACTGAAATTTTTTGCTTGATCAAGGTCTAACATACCAAGGGTCTTACCATTCCTTGTAACTGATTTTTGCTGTCAAAAGTAATGTGTTTCCCTGTTGTAATCTTGAAGCTGGAGCTCTGTGAAGCTGGATAATAAAAGTTATCATGGACATGCGAGTGTAACAAAATTGCAGCAGATCTCAGCTAGCTGATCATTCTGCAGTGAGCTAAAAAGGGCCATTCCTGGATCTGTTTTCCTGCTGATAGACAGTTTCTGTATTTGATTCATCTGCTTTTTCAATAACCTGCTGAGTTTAGAGCAGCTGTAATTTATTTCCCACTGTTTGCCTTTATTTTATGGTCCTGGCATTTGCTTTAATGTGGAGTCGTTTTCTCCAGATGTTAATAAGGTGGTGTTAATGTTTCCACAACATTTTTTTGATAACATTTGTGTAGAGCATGCCATCTGATAGTGTGGAATCAACCCATTTCAAAATACTGGTAATAATTTTCTAATTAAAATTAGAGGCTCAGAAGTGTTTTCTTCCCTGTACAACTTGAGGTCATACACTTGGGGAAAATTACATTTTTACTGAGTGAGTGAATACCTTTTACTGTACAAATTGGAAACATGAGATATGACATCATGTATCAATGTTTGTGCATATGCACATTTTCAGATGGCAGCAGCTGATCCAGGTAAGCATTCGGCGTTTCCAGTGAAGTGATGCTCTCATTCACAGCTCTGCAAACTGCCAAATAATGATCCTTAAATCTCAGTAGTGCTCTCTTCACTTTTAAAGAGAGGATTCCACATTCGGTAAGAGAGGTAGTAGACTGACAAGGGTCCAGAAAAGCCTGATGTGGCTGTCTGAGGTTGCTATATCTAACCAAGTTCAGCTTTTATACCAACACAACATTTTTCATTCTTGCTGGCCTTTCTGAATTTATTTGAATAAAATTAAAATGAAAAAAGGAAATCACCAAATAGATCAGCAAATGAATCAGCAAATAAAATGAAACTGAAACTCTAAAAAATCACCCTATTTTGGAAATTCTATGGGCTGTTACAATGTTGAGTGCTGTTCTGAATACATCTAATAGTAGTTAGTGCTGAATGACCTTACTTTTAAATGATGTTCAGTTAATTTCACTTTTCCATTCACACTCTTTTCCCTCCATTTTTCTATTTAGATCATGCTTCTTAGTGATCCAGAGATTGAGAGCAGCATCCTCATCAGCTCTGATGAAGGGGCTACCTACCAGAAGTATCGTTTGAACTTCTATATCCAGAGCTTGCTCTTCCACCCCAGGCAGGAGGAGTGGATCTTGGCCTACAGTCTGGATCAAAAGGTGAGCAATTGATTTTGTGTTTCAACGATTATGAGCCAGGAGTTGAAGGGGATATTGTCTAGAACTCTGCACTTTCAGAGATGATGTAGAAATTATGGAGTGCTTTGCTGTTCTCACTTTGTAGGTTCAAGTGTGCTCAAAAGCCTCCCATTGACTCCAAAGGGAGCTCACTAAAAGGAGCTGAGTGTTACAGTGATCAGGACGGGTGTGGAAACTTCAGTAGCCTTGATGTTGTGAAAAGAATTAGTGATTTGACATGACATATGGAGCTCTTCTAAAAATCTGTTGATTTTCAGGCTCTGATTGCTGAGCTGAGGATGGAGCACTCAGGCTGAGTTGGCCCAGAACAGCTGCCTGTTGAGCATTGGGGGGTGCTCATTGTGCTTGCAAATTGAACTCTATCTGGAAATCAGGGAGCAGCAAGGGATGACAAACATCTCTGTGCCACTTTTAAGTCACTTTGCAGTGCCTTCTGTTAGTGAGACATCTCTTCAGTCTGTTCCTTCATCCTTAGCAAGTTTACTCTTTCATAACGCTCATCTACCTTGAAAGGTGCTGAGCAGGGCAGGTGCAATGTGATAGTAAAGGGCTGTGACTAAGGAGTTTTGTGCTTCAATTCTGGAGCAGTAGTCCCTGCTACAGCCCAAAGCTGCAACAGAGACTGGATGATCAGGTTACAGATTTTAGAAAGCTTAAAACTTGCTGAGCTTTCATCTTTCCTCTCTTATGTTTCCATCATTCCTAGACTCTGGAAAGCAAAAACATGCTGAGTAGCCACTAAGTTTTTCTCCTTGTGGTGGGTTGACCCTGGCTAGATGATTTGTCCATGGAAGTTACCCTATCACTCCCCTCTTCAGCTGGACAGGGGACAGAAGATATAGCAAAAGGCCTGTGGGTTGAGATAAGAGCAGGAAGAGATCATTCAGCAGTTACTGACACAGGCAAAACAGACTTGACTTGGGAAAATTAATTGAATTTATTACCTATCAAATCAGAGTAGGGTAATGAGAAATAAAAACTAAACCTTAAACCATCTTTCTACCATCCCTCCATTCTTTCCGGGCTCAGCTTCACTCTCAGTTTTCTCTATGTCCTCCACCCCAGCAGCAGAGGGGGTTGGGACATACAGGCTGTGGTCAGTTCATCACACATTGTCTCTGCTGCTCCTTCCTTCTCAGGGGAAGGACTCCTCTCACTCTTCCCCTGCTCCAGTGTGGGCTCATTCCCACAGGAATCAGTCCTCCACAAACTTTTGTGGGTCCTTCCCACAGGCTATAGTTCTTCATGAACTGCTCCAGTGTGGTTCTTTTCCATGGGATGCAGAAAATAGACTCCAGTAACAGACTGCTCCCAGTGTGGGTCCCTCATGGGGTCACAGGTCCCACCTACATGAGCTCCTCTCCTTCCATGGGTTGAGGGGTCAGCCTGCCTCACTGGTCTTCAGTAGGGACTGCAGGGAAATCTCTGCTCTGGCATCTGGGGCACATCCTCCTGCTCCTTCTTCACTCACCTTCGTGTTTACAGGGCTGTTTCTCTCACATTTTCTTTTATTCCTCTCTGGCTGAAGCTGCTGGTTTGATTTTTTTCCTCACTTCTTAGACATGTTATCTCAGAGGTGCTGCCACTGTCACTGGTGGGTTTGACCTGGGCCAACAGCGGGTCCATCGTGGAGCTGGCTGCATTTGCTGTGTTGGACAGCTTCTAGCAGCTTTTCATGGAAGATACCCCTGTAGCCCCCTCCCCACTCCCAAAACCTTGCCACAGAAACCAAGTGCGTGTGTTAATCTGTCAGGGGTGTCTGTGTGTATGTGTGAGTTCTGACTGGGATTTTCAATTTCTGCAGTTATTGTTGAAGCTTTCTGAACTAGTCAGTCTCACATCCCACTTATAAGAACTATATAGCTAAAATAGCGTGCCTCTGTATTTGACAATTTCCTTTGAAAGGCTAGTGCAAGTCTTTACTAAAGTATTTACCGAGAGTGTAATCAAATAACGTCCTACTGCTCTACTTCCCAGTGCAACCTTTCCATCCACTCGTTAACAGAATGTATGGCAGACACCTGGTGTTTTGCTGCTATGCTGCTGATGATTCTTGAGTGACATTTGCAAGAACAAAGCTATTGTAAATACACTCCTTTCATAGTGTCGAGTCCTTACTGTATGAAGGAGGTAGTCAAATGTCAAATAGTTTTCTGCACTCAGATGTTCAGTGTAACAGGGATTTTGAAGTAGTCTAGAAAGACCAATCTATTTATTTGATGTCACAAAATGGTTTGATGTCACTTTTAAACTAGAGGTAAAGATTTTGCATGAATATGGTGTTTTTACAAAACGGCCTTGAAAGAAACAGGCATCTGCTGAGGTGCTTATGGGAGAAGCCAGATGTGATATACTGAGTATGTGTTTGCAAAGAGATCCATCTGTAGTGAGTGCAGAGCATCTGCTCTTGGGTTGAAGCACTGGACTTCTATTTCCAGTGTTTTGTGGTCTTTTTGTGTGATAGCCATCAAGAAGAAATCAAAATACAAAGTAGGCACGGGTGATTGGACTGTGAGGTAATGAGAACAGTCCCCTGGTCCAATACAGCAATAACAGGCCAGGAGGATTTTTGCTCCTGCTTCTTCAAACTAATACATCTGTGTGCACACCTCAGCTGCTCTCTTCTGCTCAGGACAAGGACAAGGAAAATGAACTGTGAGCTAGAACTGCTTGCATTTTATCCCAAGAACTGAACAAAATAGTCCACAGAGTAAGAGCAAAGATGGGGTGATCTGCAGCTTGTTGGTCAAATGGAAATGAAGGAATACAAAGTTCAGGCTTCCCTTTCATGCAAAGTGGCCTTTGCATTCAAAGCCACTTGGGATGCTTTTCTTCACTATTCATGAGGATGGCCTGAAGTGTTTGTTAAAATCTGGTCCTAAAATGGAACCATGGAGCAGTGCATTTTCCAGTTGAAGCGTTTTCTTAACATAAGCCAGGTAGTGATTGTGCTCAGCCACATCTTGGCTTAGTAAGAGCTGTAAAAGAAGTGTCACTCTGA